ATTTTTGAATCCCCACAATGGCCAGTGAAGGGCTGCAGGCTACCCCCTTGGGGAAGGAACAGATAATTTTACTCTGAGGTAGTTTCTGAGAGGAATTCCCAGTGAGGGATGAAGCTATGAGCCATAGTATCTGATAGTTCCAGAAGTCGGAGAATGATTGTGTTGACCCTGAAGAGGAGAACTGTTTGAAGGAGCGCAGTATCTATTATCATGTTCAAAATGACTTATCTTTGGCCCACGGGAGGGCTTCATGTAGGCTCTTTTGTCTTTTGACATAACCCTGTGGTTTTGTATAGCTTCCTTGCTTTCTGGTATAATACATTCCAGGCTCATCTAATGTATTACCTGAACTAGCACTGGATTCAGCTATATCTTTAAGGATATTTTTTTTTAAGAGGGAAATGGTATTCAGAGACCATAAAGTGAGTATTAGGATTGTTTATTGATTGTAGGCCTTTTCACAGGACAGAACTAAAATACATATTTTTGAAAAGAAAAAAAATCACAAGTTCATATTAAGATTGTCATTTCAAATTTAACATTATAGGTGTTTACTTAATTTCTTTGATTTTACACTTTTATCCTTTTTTCCTTACATTGAAAACTTTAGTTCACAAAACACTAAAATAAATATTTGTATTACCCTACTCTATTCTCTCTCTCTCCCTCTTTATATATGTGTTTGCCGTTTATAGTATTAATTAGTAAATACAATTAGTAAACTTAATTGTTTGCAGTAATATTAGTATTACTATTCTGAAGCTATTATATATAACATAAAATGTTATAATTATAAAAATTTATATATAGTTATAATTATATATTACATAATATTATAATTACATTGTATTATATATTATAGATAATAGTTTCAAAATAGTAATACTAATATTACTGTAAACAATTAGGCTACAGAATGATTTCTAAAAAAAATAAACACATTCCAATGTGTTCTAGAGGAACCTGAAATATTTCTGTTTGTGTGTGTGGTTGTTTTTAGATATCATTTTCATCTTGTTAGTAGAATATAAGCATAGTAGATCCTAAAGATTAACTTGATTTTTCATTCATTTTGAACTGCTAAGTAGAACATGTCTTTCATGTTATATATTTGCTCACATTATAGACTGAGAAGTCTTATTCAGTTTTTTTCTAAAAAATTCAGAGCAGCTAAATTGATACAGGGAGGATTAGACAAAACAGAAATACAGTAAGATTAATTAATTTGCCCATGACCACAGGGAACAGTGGAGATATAACTATAACTTATGTCTTTTTTTTTTTTTTTAGCTGAGCCATCCTGCCACCTGTTGGCAGCTCAGCGGCAGCTCAACTCAGGCCGTGAATCGAACCGGGGACCCTGTTGCTCAGAGCTCAAATTCTTGAGCGAGTTCTTAACCAACTGAGCCACTCGGCCAGCCCTTAACTTATGTCTTTTGACTTCATTTTATGGAAGCAAATGAGACTTTAGAAACAGAATTGAGTTTTGGGGGTACAGACTGCAAATATTACCTTAGAGTTTGAAATCCCATAAATGAATGTTCACTTCACCTACATAATACTGGACTGTGCTACATTAGTAAAAGATTTTAAACTTATACTAGGTATATGAAAACAAAGTGGCTCTGATTTCTATTCTCAGATGTTAAGATATGGAGCTTTGATTATAAAAGTGCCAGATTCATATGCTACTGTAAATATATCTAAATTTTGACCTATTAGTAGATAGTAACTACACATTTTATTAATGATGATGTTCTAATATAAATATTTCATAAAATGATGCTCTAAGACTAGAGATAATTACATATTTTATTGCTTTTTCAAAAAGGAAAGACGATATATACCTTAAATTATAGACCAATGATCTTGACCTCAAGCGGGGCAAAATTTTGAAACATCTTGCCAAATAGATGGTTTCTAATTATTATGGAAGTTGGGATTACTTGGAACAGCATGGGCTCTTAAAGAACAAGGCATGCCAGGTTAAACTACTTGTCTTCTTTTCTGTTCAATTAGATTTTATGATACTGGTAGATTAAAGGAATAGTGTATGCAGGTTGCAGCAATGCAATTGGTGATATCTTTACTCCACTATTGACTAGCTTTCACTGGGTGATAACAGAATGAATTGTTTGAGTGGAAGCAACTGTATTCAAGGCACATATCCTAGGATTTGGTCAAAGCACTCTGCCTGATCTCTATCCTATTCACCTGTTTATTCATTACTTGTGGGAGGACACAGGTGGCACTTTTGTCAAATTTACAAATATTAGGTAGCCAAAAGAAGAATTTATTAGATAACAAAATCATGGTCACAAGTAATTTCAGTTCCTTATAGTGACAGTCTAAAGTGAACACAACGAAGTATGATAGATAGAGGGGCAATATGTACTTTTATACTCTACTTAATCCACAAAGCATTAGAAAAGACACACTAAAACGATAGATAAAAACTTATATTTATTAATAAAAAAGCCACCACATTTTGAGCACTTACTATATTCAGGTATTCTGCTAAGTGCATTAGATAATTTTATAATTTAATCTTGACAAGATACTTGTAAGATAATAGTAGTAGTATGGTAATTGTACTACTACTACTATAGTGATATCTAATGTTTATAGAGCTTTTACTGTGTACCAGATGCTGTTCTAGGCAATTTACACTTAATTCTCATAACAACCCTACAATGCGGGCACTGTTGTTCTCGTCTTTATATACATGAGGAAATTGAGACACAGAGAAGTTAAATAACTTGTTAAGGTCACACAGTAAATAGATTGAGGTTACAAATCTGGCAATCTGATTTCAAAGCCTTAGGTATACGTTTTACCCTCTTTTTACAAACGAGATTTTTAAGATTAGAAAGTTGAGAAACTTACCCAAATTTCTGGTAAACTGAAGGACTGGGATTTAATCCCATGATGCTTGATTTTATAGCTGTTTTCTTAACTACTCACTCTGCTATACTGCCTTCCTAGAACAACTACTAGGTAACCAGTAGTTAGGTCAGGTGCTTTAATACATTATTGGTTGTAATCTTGATAACAACCCTAGGAGGCCGCTGTTGTCCCTCCATTTCACAGACAGAAAACTGAAGTTCAAGAGGTTAAGCAAGTTGCTCAAGGTCACACCGATAGTGAGTCGTAAAGTTGCAATTCACACCCAGGTCTGTTTGACTCCAAAGCCCATATTTTTAAACATTGTGCTGTGCAGGAAAGGAAAGATGCCACAGAACAATAGCATTAGTTCCATGTGAGACAGTGGGTGACACCACTGCCAGCAAGGTGACTGCCACCTGAGGCTGCACTGTAGAAATATAGCCTTCAAAGCTATATCATGGAAAGCTGAAATAAATAAGATACTATGAAAGAGGAAGATCATCAAGGTCCTAGTCTCACCTTTATTTTCCT